TAGTGTCACGCCACGTTTCTGGAACTATCCTGTACCTTGGCGAGTGCTCTAGCATTTACTAGATATAGGGTAGCCTGGTATATAAAAGAGGGTGACAACGGGACGGAATAATAATGTGTGTGTACCTAATGAGTAATTGAACTGCAGTCAGAGAGAGACGTATTGTTGAAGTTAACGTTCATTATAGCGTTTGTTTTAGCGTGATTGTTGAAAATAAGTGTATCTTAAAGTTGTATTCGGAAAGAATAAACCAGTTTTATTAAGTAAGGACTTGTGTCGCTAAAGTTTCGTCGGAACGAAGTTACGGAAAGTTAATTAACAAACGGAGACGTAACACTATTTTTCTCTATTTATATCATAACGGTATCTGTGAGTTACCATAGTTGTATCCTGAACTTCCAAAAATCGTCTCCTTTTCGTACTTCCAATAATTGTCTGCTCTTCATACTTTCAATAATCGTCTGCCTTTTGTCAAAGTTCACATAAGTGGGTTCAATTAGTTTAGAACATCCTTTGACGAGACAAATTATTATTCTTATCTCTTTCAAAATGTTATTCTCACTCTAACATATCAACTGTTAGGCCATTCACTCATACGACAGTTAACTTTACGTTTTCTAACTTTTCTCTGACTGAAGTTCACTTTCTCGTGACTTTACTTTTACTCTGTTTCCGCTCGTCTGGTCGCAGCTATTTATACGCCAATTACTTAGGCTCTTTAGAAATCTCCATAGCTTTGATATCAATGGATTGCAAACACAGTGATCAATAGCCTCAACATCAGTGAATTACAAACACAAAATAAATAACTTAATAACATTACCTACACTAAACAGTCTTTTATATCTGACAGGCCTTTTAATTTACTTTTTGAAGATTTGTTGTAAATGTCGTGTAAGGGAGGGGGAACCCTAAATTAGAGAGAAGCTTACTTAATGTTCCAGGGTTTTAAGCTTTTCCTTCAAAGGAAAACTTTTTTGAACATCTTTTCAATCAAAATCAAAGAAAATCTTTGGGAACAATTTAGCTGTTGTCAACTGAGATTGGCAAGATCCATCCTGCAAGTATGAATTTTAATAATGGCAGTATTCATACCTAGATTTTGTATTTTCATGTCTTTAGCTTTATGTATTGTTACGTCTCCGTTTGTTAATTGATTTTCCGTAACTTCGTTCAGACGAAACTTAAGCGACACAAGTTCTTTCTTAATAAAAACTGGTTTATTCTTTCCGAATACAACTTTACCGATACACTCAACTTCAACAATCGCGCTAAACAACGCTATATCAACGAACGTCAATAATACTTCTGACTGCAGATCAATTACTCACTATCTATACACATTACATTCCCCTCTTTTATATACCAGCCTACCCTATATCTAGTTAGAACTAGAACATTCGCCAAAGTACATGATAGTTCTAGAAACGTTGCGTCACAGTAGTCATGTGACTCGATGACGCAACAGTATGATTATAACTAGTTCCACCCATTATTTCCTTGTTAGCAAGTAATTAGCAAATGGCATAGACTGAATTGCTGCAGCATTTGCTTAAGAACCTCCAACAAAGTAAGATAATTTCTCAAAAATACTTGCTTAAATATAACATAGAAATTTCATTTTCACTTTGTTAGAGATTAAATTATGTGTTAGTAGCTTTTGGATCTGTTTTTTTTAATATAATGCCTGTTTCTAACTGCTGTGAATACATATAGAACTATTTAGAAATATGTCATGTTGCCATATGCATATTTTTCCATCTAAAACATAATAATTATAACAGCTATTGCTATGTGTATATTTTTTCATGTAATATAGCATTATAATTATTACAATTATTTTGATTAATTGTGAAATGTTTAAAAACCATTTTTCAAGTGAACCATTACATCAACAATAAGGAAAATTAGGTATTTAAAGTGGAAAAAATCTCAATAAACCTATTTTTAAAACTCAGAAAATCTTGAACAATCATTAAAAGCTTTTATCATATTTTAGACTCTCCTCGTTCAAACGTGGTATCCCATCACTGTAGCCACAAACTCAAGATATCAGAAAGAACTGCTTGCAAAGTACCTGATTGACACAGCAGATACCTTAAACACACTCCATATGAAACTCCACGATTTTGGTTTTCGTGGATGCTCTTCTGTAGAGGTATGTAAGTTATGTTTAGTTGTGAGAAAATGTATATAAGTAAACAAAAAAACTGAACTCTTATTTCCTGGTGTGACATGTTTAATATTTTTACAATTAAAGTTTTACTTTATTTCTTTGACTATCAAGTAATTAAGTACAAACTATAAAACAGTACATTACATTTTGCATAATAGATTATGAGATTAGCTCCAGGCAGTTGTGTAGTTCAGTATGCATTCAGAACAAATCCAGCTGTATGTCATATACCATATGAATCAAAATTTTATCATAAATGAAAATACAGTATTTAAAACAAATCAGTACCAAATGTATGAACTTTTGTCGACAGTGTATGATTATCAGTAAATGGTAAAGATAATGAATCAGAAGTTGTTACATTTCATGTGTTTTTACTTTTCAAAGGTACAGTGCAAGTTTTCCAAGTAGTTCTGAAAGTAAATTTTTTGCATGTTGTGTGAAGAATTTTAAGTTGTCTTTATGGCTACAAAAGAAAGGTAAATTTGAAAAAAAATTAATTGAAGTTTTAGAAATTTCTGTAAGTAATAAGCTAAAATTTTATGATAAATATTTCATGTAGAGACATCATTTTACTTTATTAAAAACAATTTTATTCAAAATTATCTTAGTACAAGTTTCTAATTCATTTTATATTGCACTAACACTTACCTTTTTGTGCGGAATAATTTTTTTACAAAATAGCACAATTATGAAATGAATACTTCAAGTTTTTGTGCTGTTTTATCTCGTCGACACTGGATATAGAAGGTATAAAGTGGTTGACACACTACATTATTCTTTACTTTCACTTGTGAGCTCGTATAACTTCTGTTGAATTTCTGGTTTTTATTGCTGGAGCTGATATTAAAAGGTGTCTATATGGAAACAGTATAAATGTTAATGTTTATGTTTTTGTATCTTGTGATGTATAGAACTTAGATTCTGCCTTTGTATCAGACAGCTGCCATAGGAGGTGGTGCTCACTTGGTGAACTTTAAATCAACAGATACGATAGCTGGTTTACTGTTTGCTAGGAAGTACTATGGGTGTAACATGGCTGGGTTTTCCATTCCTGCCACAGAACACAGGTAAGCTTCAAAATGAAATGTCTTGTTATGAGCAGGATGAAACAGCCGTATGTAATATTTAATCCAAGTTTAAGTAATGCATGTCTATAAAAAGTGAAACTTAGAGATATCTCAGCTTAATTCCTGTTCATAAGAGTATGTCCCAAAACATATTACATGAAATGTGGAATGAATGAGTTGAATTTGCAAAGTGCAAACTCCTCAACTTATTTTATACACCTTTAAAGAAGCAGGACAACCAGGGGTTATTATTGCAACTATTTTTATACCCTCAAAGAAAGCAGGCCTGCCAGGTGTGATTATTAGAACTATCTTCACACCTCCAAAGAAGCAGGACAGCAGGGGGTGATTATCAACATATTTTATATTGGAATTAAAAAAATTACTTGATGATCAGCACCATCCATGTTTCATTGAAAAAATACTAGAATACAGTCAGACCAAAATTTGAATGTTGGTAACCATGAGGGTTAAGTGTGATTCAGTGGTTAATGTGCCAGACTGAGGTCTCCATGGTTTGTGTTCTGTACCACAAAAAAATGTGTGTGTGTGTGTGTATATATAATGCTCTGCACCTTGGGGTGTGGGTTCATTATAAGAGTGATGGTTAAATTCCACTAATTGGTCTGACAAGAGTAGCCCAATGTGGGTTGTGTTGACTATATACCAACAACCTAGTATTTCACTTCAAAATTATGAATGGTTAGTTTAATTAGCCATTGTGTAGTTTTGTACAAAATTCTAACAAATAAAGGTAACTATGATTATTTTTCAACGTTAATTGCTCGTTGAGGTCATTGTCAACTAACTGACTTAAAGAATGTTATCTTAAATCTTCACAGCCGGTTTTGGGTATCTTATAAGTTATAAAAACAGTGATTTTAATATGGAAAACTTAATAGTATGTAATATTTCATTGTGTAAAACTTAATAGTATGTTATATTTCATAGTGTAAATTGTTCGTATAAGACATCCTGTTGTGAAGATAATTGAGAGTTCTTTTCTCAGTGTTATATTTTCTAGTCAAATTTAATCACTTTCATAGATGCACTAACCAACCCATGGACTTGGGACTATATAGTGACCAAAAACCAAAGAACTTAACACACTGTTAAATAACAGCTTTTTCTGTACATGCATTTGTATATCTAGAGGGGGGGGGGGGGGAGGAGTAGACAGGTCACAACATAGGTTCCAAATTTTTTCATGCCATAATAATTTGTCATTTCTTTCCAGTTGTAAATATTTTTAGTTTTATGCAACCTTTGCCTCAGTTTCATGTGTGTTAATTTTAAAAAGCATAACAATTGAGAAATGAATATTTGCTGTCTTTAATATACTTTTTTTTTTTCTATTTATGTGCTTCAGAATTTCAAATTTTGATTGCTGGAACTGATATTAATAGATGTCTGTATGGGAACAGTATAAATGTTAATGTTTAGATTTCTGCATCTTGTGTTATATAAACCTGAGATTCTGTCTTTTTATCAAAAAACTGTCATATTAGGGGGTACTCACTTGAGTCACCTTAAATCGGCAGGTAAAAAGTGGAGAAAGTGCCATTAAAGAATAGTTGAACCTCATATATGAAGTTATGTACATTTTTTTTAAATGTGAAACGTGATAATGAAATTATTGTGACATGGAAAATTTAAAAAATAGTGTTGTGATTTATGATTTCCACACTTTTGTTTACACATACTGGTTTATCTTTACTTTGATTGCCATGCCAGGCCGTTTGGCTTTAGTACCATATTTGCCTTCTTGTGAGTTAGTCACTATGGTCACAGCAGATCTCCGTTTTATTTGCTATTATTATTTTATTGTACTTAATGAAAGCTACTTTTAATTTTCTTTTTTCACTTCCATGAGATAATTGCCTTAAAACTCAATCTTTGTTCTTACTCTCTGTTCACTTAACCATATTATCTATTTGACCTTTATAGGTGGAATGTTCCAACCACATTAAGTTAGTCTTCACTCAACCTGTTGATTAGAATAACGATTATACAAGCTCATTACCAAACCAAGGAGAAACCTTTATGTGATCTTTGATATAGGGATGTTGTTAAACTGCCCACTCTGTTATATTATCTTTACCTCTGGTGCCTACTATTACAACTTAGGCAAGTTCCTGACTTAGGTTTTCTTCATGTATTTATCTTCAACTTCATCATATATATATATAAACATTTCAATAGAATGCATCCAGGTGCATCAACATTTTGACCCAAATGACACCATTTCTCTCTTCATGCACTTCCCTGTTCAAGAAGTTTGTTGTATTACACTTTCCAAATTCACAATGATCCTCTACCTAGAACTTTTCTCCCTTGTCTTATCCTTACTAACTTATTGAAATTTACTACAAAAAAAAAAAGGCCAACTTTCAATTCAACAACACAAATTGTGACCAAATCAATGGTATAACCATTTGTCTCTGTACTTTGTAATTAATTTAAGATTTCATTTGAACAATATATTCTAAACACCACACTCGTTCCTCATATATATTGGCTATGATACATTGAAGACATATTTACAAGTTTATTCCAAACCACAACAAGCCCAGCTTTTTATACAAAGCCATAACAAACAACAATAAAATTCACCATAGAACAAGAAACATACAAAACCTTATCACTTCTTAATGTCCTTAAACATAAATTAGATCAAGGCTTTTGCACAAATATTTATTGCAAGGCCACCCACAGTGACCTCTACATACCAGGGAATTCAGCTCATCCAACCTATCAAAAAACAAGCATTTAAGAAACTTTAATTTCCAATTCTACCACCATTTACAATTCCCAAGACATTCTGTATTCAGAAATCCGACATCTAAAATCTTTTCTTCATATCTAAAAACTTCCTAAAACTGTTACTGAAAACACAATTACTAACACTCATAAACAAAATCAATGTGATGTTCCAGATACTTTCAACTCAAGCAAAGACACCAGTAACCTGCTATTTACCCTACATTTGAGTCTAGAAAGATCATGGTTTCACTTAAGTAAAACAGAATGTAAAGGTTAAGTTTAATTTTACTCTTGGAACAAAACTAGACTGTTAATTTTAAAATACACTAGACAAGTTCTGATTCTGCTGTAAAAGTTGTTGTTATCGTATTTTTGAATTAGTTATTCAGTTCAGATAGTATTCTATTAAATAAATTCCAAAAACAGCCCTATTGGTAATGTTGTTTTTATGAATCCAAATGCTAAGACTTCAACATCAAGTTACATAGGTGTAATAGAGAGAACACTCAATACCTACATAGATGAGTGCAATTGTGCACCATTTAAACATAAATACAACTGGCCACAGCATCTCCTCTCATTCATTTCACATAAGTTCTAAGGAAAGCAAAAACTGAAAAAGAAAAACCAAGGAATCCCTATTAATAATAATAAAAAAATTATAAACAAATATCCTGATTCCCTAATATATTTATTCACCAATGATACTTCAGTTGCTTTATGATTGGTACACTTAAACTGTTAATTTTCGAATGTAACTATCTAATATTCACTCATATATTATACCTGATGATGACTAGAAAAACTGTTGAAACATAATTTGTCTTTGTGTTCACTATTTATAGCTGAAATGATTCTACCCCCCTTAAGTTAGTCTTCACTCCACCATGATGTGTTATGCTTTTAATGATAATAGTAACTACTGTACTAACTCATATTCAAAACATTTATGCTCTACAGCCTATAGATAGGGGAATGCCATATTAGAAAAAGCTGAATGCTTGAGGCACTGGAAGTGTATTTTCCTGTAACAGCTGCTTAGTAAACTGTGTTAGTACCTAAAATTATTTCACAATAACACTTGTCTTGTACTCCAGCTTCTCCAGATAGGCCTTACTTAATATTAATATGTTAAGCCTATCACATATTAGTAAACTTCACAATTTGTAAGGAGGTGCAAGATGTTAAGTTTAGATAAATAGTTAATATAATTGATTTTTAAACATAAAATGTTAAAAACTTCTGTTTGGAAAAAGCTCATGTAACGGTAAATTTTCCCTCTTGCTCTCATAAAATATCAAACTCCTAGAGCAATAATAATAATGTTTTTTCTTTAAAGTCTGTAGCTGCATATGTATGAACTATCTTCATATAAAGAAGCATTGCTCAACTGTTGTAGGCCTTATACTAATTTCTTCAGAATTTGTTCTATTGCAAACTCTAATTGCTAATTTTGTATAATTAAAATTTTGTTCATGGATTTGTGGAGAACCTATTTCTCATTCTTAAGACATTTATTCTAGGGAGATCTTATATTTTTCTCCTTGTTTCAGGTGCTCATTTCTCCAGTTATCTTCCACTCATCTAGACTGTTTGGTTTTAGCTAATGGTGACTAATGACATGGAGATCTGTAATTCTCAGTTGCTCTTGGATTTTCTACCTTGAAAATTATTCAGTTTTCAGAAAACAAATATTATGACCTCTTGCAATCTAGGTAATCTCAACTCTCAATGCCATTGTTTGAACGTGTCATCAAGGGTTAACTTTCTCATTCATGTGAGTGTTGTTCTATCATTTTTGCCAGATTTAAATTTGAAGGAGTCCTTTTTTGCCTTTCTTTCTTGAACATTTACCTTATTTCATAATGTTCCTTAGCTTTGCCTTCATGGCTAGCTTTTACTTGCCATTTATAGTCCTTTCACTGCCATGGATGCATGTTTGTCTCCCTTTAGAGTACTACCGTGGCCACATGTATGTCTCCCTCTATAGTACTGTCATGGCCACATAATGGAACTGAGTATAAAACCTTTGTTTTAGTTTTGAAAGGTGTGATGTTATCACAATGTAGCATAGAATTTTGTACCACCATGAAGAAAGTGTATCTCACTTTAAACTTCCCAAAGTTTCATATAAGTGATGAAAGGCTAAAACAATCCTTTTTTGTTTCTTTACTGTATGAATATAGCAGGAAAATAGTTAAATCTATTACCCTGTCTAATCTTTTTATCTCTGTCAG